CCTATATGCTGTTTTTATTCATATATCCTGGACTTGGAGCAGAAGCGGCTGGTGACTCAAAAAGACCACTGAGTATAGACAAATATAAAGAACCAACAAAAGCCTGCTCTCTCTAGTCAATGGACCAGGAAAAGGATAGCCTAACAAAACAAAACACTTTAGTCAATAACTGCTATATTCCAGTCAAATACCACAGTAAAAACTGTGAGTTCTCCCCTATCACCCACCTACCATCGCCAAGCTATATCGAAGCTGGGATGGGGTGTCAAGGAAGGTCAGGATGGAAGCCGGGCCTTTCATCCCCACTGGGCACTACTGAGGCTTTCCCTACCTGTACTATCAGAGGTGCAGTGAGTCTGGACATTCATTCCCACCCCCCCCACACACACACAGTAACAAGGCCCAACGGGTTTTTGACAAAGGTGCAAAAGTAATTCAATAGAGAAAAGATAGCCTTTCCAAAAAATGGTGCTGAAGCAACTGGACATCCATAGGCAAAAGATAAAAAGACCACCTCCAACACACCTCATACAAATCTAACTCAAACTAGATCATAGACTGAAATGTAAAACATAAACCTATTTTTAAACTTTTAGAAAATACATAGGAGAAAAATCTCTGGGACTTAGGACTTATTGAAGAATTCCTGGACATGACACCGAAAGCACAATTCCTAAAAGAAAAAATCAGTAAGTGGGCTTCATCAAAAGTAAAAACTTTTACTCTGCAAAAAGCCCTGTTAAGAGGTTGAAAAGACAAGCTGCAAAGTGGGAGAAAATATTTGCAAACCACACATCTGATAAAGGACTAGTATCTACAATATATAGAGAACTCTCAAAACTCAACAGTAAAAAACCCAAACAATCCAGTTAAAAAATGGACAAAAGACATGAGCAGAGGATTCACCAAGGAGGATGTACAGATGGCAAATAAGCACATAAAAAGATGTTCAGCATTGTCAGTGGTTATGGAAATGCAGATGAAAACCGCAATGAAATATCACTACATAGCTCTCCGAGTGGCTTAAAAAAAGAAATAAGAAGTGACAAAAGCAAAGGCTAGTGAGGATGTGGAGAGACTGAATCCCTCACACGTTGCTGGTAGGAATGTAAAATGGTATAGCCACTCTGGAAAACAATTTGGCAATTGCTTAAAAAAAAAATTAAACATGCAACTACCATACGACCCAGCAATGCACCCCAGGAATTTATCCCAGAGAAATAAAAACTTATGTTCACACAAAAACTTGTACATGATTGTTCATAGCGGCTCTATTGGTGACGACCCAAACCTGGAAATAACCCAGATGCCCTTCGATAGGTAAATGCTCAAACAAACTGGGATAATTCATACCCCATACCATGGAATACTACAGGGGAGTAAAAAGGGAGCCAATTACTGATACACACAACCTGGATAGAATTATGTTGAGTGAAAACCAATCCCAAAGGGCTACCTACTCTATAATTCCACTTACATAACATTATTGACATGACAAAATTATTGAAAAGAAGAATGGTTTAGTGGTTTCCAGAGGCTAGGAAGGGGCTGGGGCAGGAGGAGAGTTGGTGTGGGTATAAAAAGACAACATGAGGGACCCTTGTGGCGACGGAGATGTTCTGTATCTTGACTGGATCAGTGACAACACTCTAGCTGTGTCATTGTACTACAGTTTTGCAAGATGTTACCACTAGAGGAATCTGGATAAATGATACCCAGGATCTGTGTTCTTTCTTACAACTGCTTGTGAATCTATAATGACCTCAAAATAAAAAGTTTAATTTTAAAAAGTATACATAAGAGCAAAGGGCTGAGAATAGCCAAGACTTCCTTGAAAAAAAAATAACAAATATAGGTGAAGAAGTAGAAGTACATGACCTGAGGACAATCTTTGGAAAACAGTTTGGTTCAAAATCGATCATACTTGGTTCTATACCTCAGGGCATCTACTTGATACATATCTTGGAAAAATTTCTCCCAGGTGCCTCAGGAAGCACATAAAGGATGTTCATAGCAGCATTTGTAGTACGCAAAGAAAACTCTGGGCATTTTCCGATGTTCATTTCCTGGTTTTACTAACGTATGATGGCAAATAGAAGATGGTATCATTGTGAATCCAAAATTATTTTAAGTTAAAAAATGTTTTATCTGGACACATTTTACTGGAAATGATACAAAAACTTGAGCATACACTCCGGTGTTCAGGAAATAGCAATGAAAGCAAAGAACCGCTACTATATGCATCAACAGACGTATCTTAGGAACATAATGTTAAGAAAAATGCAAGTCATAAAAGAGACTATACAGTTTGAAACCTTACATAAAGTTCAAAAGACGCAAACAAAACAAAGTATTGTTGAAGCACACATCCAAAAGCGATAAAACCCAAAGAAAAGCCAGAGTGGTGTATTTCTGCCTTGAGGAGGGAGGAAGGGAAAAGGAAACAAGTAGAGACCTCAGAAGTGTTGTAGCATTTGATTTCTTAAAAGCTGGGGGGAGGGTCAACGGGAATTCATAATGATAGGTTTTCTTTACAACTTACATATACTTCATATGGATGCGATAAAAAGCTTTACCTAATTAAAAAAAAAATAAAGGGGCGCCTGGGCGGCTCAGTTGGTTAAGCGACTGCCTTCGGCTCAGGTCATGATCCTGGAGTCCCAGGATCGAGTCCCACATCGGGCTCCCTGCTCAGCGGGGAGGCTGCTTCTCCTTCTGACCCTCTTTCCTCTTGTGCTCTCTATCTCTCATTCTCTCTCTCTCAAATAAATAAATAAAATATTTAAAAAAAAATAAAGGAACACAAAGATGCTATGTGGAAGAAACTCGTTCTGGTAGGGTTGGCAAACTGAGTACCATAGTGGCCACATTCCACAATTTTTTACCACCTGGAGAAAGCCTGTCTCCTCTAGGGCAGGTTAAGGACAAGACCCCAAATAAGGAGAGGCAAGTAATGACAGAAGATGGAGAAGGAGGGGGACATGGGAGCAGAGCAGACTTGGACTTCCAAGCACAATGACCACATTCTGTGAACAACACCAGTATCAGCTCCAGACATGAGCCAACCTGTCTTGCTGTGCTTAAAGTTGGTGGAGCTGGGTTTTTGTCATTTAAACTGGAAGAATCCCGACAGAGTCCTATAGGCATCCTGGCCCATAGTCAGCCCAGCTGGGTCTGACTTTGAGGCTTCTAGGTTTGCAGAGGGGCCTGGGTCCCATCCATCCCTCCCCTTCTGCCATACAATTTTGTATGTGGAGGACCAGGTGATCAGAGAAGGTATAGGACTTGCCCAGACTTACCTAAACGATGGCACTATTTCTCTCACATTTCAGCGGCTTTGTCTTGACACTGACAATGTCCTCAGCACAGGATGAGAGGGTGCAGGAAGACAGCTCGAGGTGGCAACTTGACCATATCTCCTCGGGAATTTCAGTGGAGAGAACACTCAGAGGGAGGAAGAGCTGCAGCGTGGGAGTCTCAGCTCCTTCTAGAGCTTCCTTCAATCCCATGCTGGATGCAGTCTCCCGAGAGAGCAAGAACCCCAGGGCAGAAGGAGAGTGGGAGTTTAGAGGGTGCCTCTGAGCCTGATGCCAGGCACAGTGGGGTAGATATCCCAGAGCGCTCGCCTGCCATCCCTGAGGCTCCAAACCTAGGGTGACTCTGAGAAAGAGAACAGTTGTTTTGATTTGTGTTCTAGACATTCACTCAAACATTCAACGACTGTTTACTAAGTTCTCAGGTCCTTGAGATCCTATAGTGGACCTTCAACAGCTGCTGTCATGAAACTCACTTTCTGGTTTTCAAACAAGCAATGAGAGAGGGACTTCAGGTAAACAAACCAGGGAGACAGACAGGGAGACATCCCAATCAAGCTATGTACGCAGAAGAGGATAACCAATGTCCTTTGGTACTTTCTGGGGGTTGAGCTTGCTTCTCACTCTTCTCTCTCTGTACACACACACACACACACACACACACTGCTTGTTCCCAAAAAAATAAATGTTCCCTGAACTGCTGTAAAGAAGAAAACCATGTGGCCGTAGACAGTAGGAGGCAGCTTTGTGAAACCTCCATTAACCAGAATGCCTTACCAAGGGGGCTGTCCTGGGAGTGCTTCTAACACTTGAGCTCCTTGCTCTCACCCACTCACAACTTGTCCCATGTGCCTCAGTGGGCCAGGGGAATACAGAGAGGAATGGGAAGCAACCCTCCCGTCCTCTGGGAGCTCCTTGTCTGGATACAACTAATTGCCATGGCAAGCCATGGCCTAGTCAGCCTGGTGGCCCCAGAGTCAAGAACTCCAGAGTGCTGTCCACAGAACGGCCACGCAGATATTCTGGTGCCGTGGCTCCTTCTCTCCCATGGGACAGCAGATTTAGGATAAAATTATCTGTAGGAGAGGTTGGCTTGAGATTGGTGCGCCTTTCCTGGTCCTCCTCTCCTGCTGGCCAGGTCTTAGGGGACACCTATGACCCCACAGAGGTGCCCAGAGGAGGGATCTGGACCTAGAGAAGGGAGGGTGGGCTAGAGGCCACAGGGGGTCACAGTCAAGCCAGTCTACCCCCACATGGTCCACCACACCCTTGCTCTCCCCCAACATCCCTTCCTTTCCGTCTTCTGAGATGGACGTGCATCAATCAGGCGTCGCGGGAGGTGGAGGAAGGGACGGGAATCTAGGTTTTAAAAGACGAGGAACAAACGTCCCCTGCCAATTTCGTGTCATTTTTCTGGATTCAAAGGAGGGGTAGAGTTAGAGTAGGGAAGACCGACGACGTAGAGGGGCAACGAGAGACGGCCCGATGCGGGTGTGTCTCGGAGGGCCGGCCAGGCGGTTCTCTCCCGCCGAGTGCGGGTTCCGGGTGGGCGGGCGGACGCCCCCAGCCCCGCAGCGGCGCGAGCCCCGCATGACATCAGAGGCTGGGGAGCGCGCAGAGCGCAGGCGCCGGCCGAGGACGGAGACGGGAGGGGGCCGCGGCGCGCGGCTCGGGAGAGCGCTCCTCCGCCCCGCGCGCCGTCCCTGCGCCCCGCTCCGCCCGCGCCTCGCTGTCCGCGCCGCGCCTCGGGCGTCCAGAGCGCGCCCCTCGCACCGCAGCGAGCGCCGCCCGCAGCAGCCCAGCCCCAGCCTTCTCCTCCTCCGCCTCTGCCGCCGCGGCCGCCGGACACGCAGCCGCAGGCCGGGGCCGGGACGCAGCTGGGGAGTCAGGGACGCGCGCAGCCAGCCCTTCCCCCTCCGGCTCCCGCACTGCCGGCCGCCTCCCCTCGCCCTCCTCCTCCCTCCCTGCTCCTTCGCTTCTCCTCTTCCTCCTGCACGGCCCGGCTGCCAGCACCATGTCCGCAGGGGGAGATTTTGGGAACCCACTGAGAAAATTCAAGTTGGTGTTCCTGGGGGAGCAGAGCGGTAAGTACCCCGCTTATTCTCTTGGCTTGGCGCCGAGTCGACCCCCGCCGCCCCATCATCCACCCAGTTGGGGACCCCGCCCCGGCTCGGAAAGGCCCCTCCAAGCCGGGGTGGAGGGGAGGGACGGGGATGTGGGGGGTCGGGGCCGGCTCGGGCGGGGCCGGGCCGGGGAGGGGCCCCGGGGAGGGATGGAGGGGGCGCTGGGCCGGGGGGGGGGGGGGGAGGTGGGGTGCGGGGCTAGAGCTGCGGGGCGGACGCCGCGCGGCAGGGAGGCCGGAGGGCGGCGGCTCGCTCAGCCGCGCCGGCCGGGGCGTGAAGGCGCCGGGCTCGCCGGCTCGCTCGCAATGCGGCACCGGCTGCGGGCGACCGCGCAGGTGGCCGAGCGCGGGCGGGGGCCGGGGGAGGACGGGCGCCCCTCTTCGGAGAACGAGGCGGGGCCGGCGTCTGGCCGGAGGGTTCCCTGCGGACCCTGCCCGGACCCGTGTTTAATGACGGGCATGTCCAGGCCCTGGAGCAGAGGGCCGCGGGGGAAGGCCGACACCTGTCTCCTGTGGAAAGAGCGGGCGCAGGCTGTAGGGGAACAGGGCGCCTACCTCCCCTGGCCTACGTCCGACTGGACACGGAAGGTTCTAGACGCTGCCCTATGCCAGCGTGTGGGAGCATCTCTCGGGCTCAGGGTCTGGGCGAGGACAGCGAGGGTTCCCCGGGGCGAGGCAGATTTGGGGGATGGTACAGGGGTGCCTCGCACCAAGAGGCGGCGAAGCCTGGCGCTGGGCAGAGAAAGGACCAGGCGACACGCCCTGCCTGGCTTCCCAGCACCCCTCCTGAGAGCGTTGACGGCAGAGAAGTCTTCCCACCCCCACCTCCCAGCTCACAGCCCGTCTTGGGGGAGGGGAGGTCACCGTGGCAGCCGGGGGGGGGGGGGGGGGAGACAAACGGCTTCCTTGCCGCCCAGCAGCCTCCCCGGGGAAAGCATCTCTGAAACCCGGGTTGGCCCCAAGGTGGGAGGACCAGATTGAAGAGCGTGGACCCCTCTGACACCTGTAGGAAGGAGTGGTTCTCAGAGCATCTCCCCAGAGGCCTCTCACCTGGGGCTGCAGAGGGACCGGCTGGGCCTTGCCCAGCTCACCTCAGGAAGAAGGTGGCCGCTGGGGACAGGATCCCCAGCTCTAGCTCTGCAGACCAGTCCAGTTCACCTGGTTTAGTGCCTGTCTGTACTAGGGACCAAGACACAGGCAACCTTAGGAGGACCTGATGGGCTCAGGGAATAGTGCTACCCTGGTGTGGGTACAAGTGGGTTGTGAAGGTCGCATGGCAGTCTCCTGTGTTGCTACTCATTACCTGGGATGGATGGTTCAGAGAAGGATGTCAGAAGGTCAGGCCCTAACATGGGGATGGATCCTGGGGCCAGGCTGAGTATTTCAGAACAAGATCAACTCAGCCAGCCAGCCCTGTGTCCTGGAGTTTCTGATCTTAACACAGTCCAGCTTCAGAACTCACTATTTCCCATGCCTGAAGGATTTCAGGAGTCTTCACATCCCAGTGCTAATCTTACCTGGCCTGGAGCCCCGGGCGAGAAGTCTGATCAGGCAGCCTGGGAGTTGAATTCCTACTTGTGTTTCCTTGAGCAGATTTCCAGGCCTCTCTGAGCCTCAGTTTCTGTCTCTGTGAAATGGTTGCTTGAGGTTCTCTTACTCCTTCATGTTTCCCCAGTGCCTCTCAAAGGGCCTTGGCCCTGGTAGGTTCTCAAGAAACATTTGTTTATTCCAAGTCTGAACATGCTTCAGTAAAGCACCAGGGCTTTGATGAGGAGAATGTCTCTTGTGAGTAGGAGTGAAAACTCTGGACTCCTTCAGAATCTCTGATGGGCTGAGGCCCCTGAGGAGCCACACCAACCCCCCCTTTGTTCCTAAATCCCTGAAATGAGAGCTTAAGGCCTCAGAGATGGAGCCCCCACCTTGCATATGTAGATTAGAAGTCTGAGCCCCAGGGATGGGGAGGATTTGGGAGAGTCCCACCGTGAGTTGCTAGCACTTCTGGGGCTGGAACCCACATCTCCTGTTCCCAGTCGTTAACGTGCCATTGGGAGTTAAGATGACCTTGAATCAGGGCAATGAAGAATTGGGGAGCCTTCCTGAGTTGAGGTGAGGATTGCCACTCTCTGGCCAGACTTGTGGCTCCACTGGGTGACCTGGTGGGAATGCTGGGCTGTTTGGGTTGGGGGCAGGGTTTGTGGGCCCTCCGAACACAAGTCACTAGAGACAAAGGCTCTGCCATCAGTGGGATTGGCTGTTGGCAACTCTGGTCCCTTCTGGCTTGGAGCCCTAGGGCCCTGAGAAGCTTCCTTCCGCTTGAGTGTGTAGTCGGTTGTATACCTTGTATTCTACATGGCTTTTGGGGCCCCCCGAGTTAGGTTGGGACACATGCATCCCTGAGCCTGGGGGGATAGGGGAACTGCCTTCGTAGACACTGCTTCTGCCTTGCCTGCGCACAAGTTTGTTTGTTTTATTTTAAGATTTTATTTATTTATTAGAGAGCGCTCAAGTAGGCAGAGTGGCAGGCAAAGGGAGAGGGAGAAGCAGGCTCCCCACTGAGCAGGGAGTCTGATGCAGGGCTCGATCCCAGGACCCTGGGATCATGACCTGAGCCGAAGGCAGACGCTTAACTGACTGAGCCACCCAGGCGCTCCGCCTGCACACAAGTTTTGTGTGTGTTGGTCCTTTGTGTCACTGCAGCCTGTGCAGTATAGGGAGCCCCTGAGGTCTAGCCCCCCACCCCCGTTACCCTGGCTCTCCTTCCCTGTGTGACCTCAGAGGTCCCTCACCTTCTGTACCTGGGACACTTGGTTCAGCTGAGCTTGACAGAGTCTTCTAGAGCCACATGGGTCTGCCTATATGAGCTGACTCCCCTGGATAGAAGCCAGGGGAAGGGGCTGGAGGGATGTGGCCTTCTCTTGTTTCCTGTGCCTGGTATAGTGGTGGCATCTCCCTAGGCCAGTGGGTGAAGACAGCTGGATTCCAAAAAGGAGTACCTGACCTGGAGCCCAGTGATAAGGAGGACACCCTGAAACAGATAATCCCAGGAGGGCATCAAGCCTTCAAAGATAGCAGGACCTGGTTTGAGTGGAAGGCCTTAAGGAAGCACTCTAGAGAGAACACCCCTAGCCCGTGAGAAGGCCCCCCTCCTGGCGGCAGAGTGACCACTGTCCCCTGGACCACGGAACACAGGCTGGCTGGCAGTGTCAGCCTGGCAGGGGGTGGGGTTGTGGAGAGGGACCCAGGATGAGGGGACTCTTTGCAGGAGGCAGGCTGTGCAGTGGGGTGGGGAGGCACACTGGTCCCAGCGGCGCCACTTGATGATGTCCAGAGAACACAGGCACAGGTGTCTGAGGAAGGAGGGGAGGCCTGGGGGACACATCTTCCTCCGAAGTTCTGACGGTGTTCTGTGGGGGGGTTAGGCTTCCCTCGGTGCATCTGGGAGTGTCGCGGGGACTGGGGATGTGGACAGGCCTGTCGGGTGTGCTGGCCCCTTCTGATCTCCCTTCCCCGAGACTCCTCCAGCCAAAGCAGGGAGATTGAGGGACCACCACAAGTTCAGTCTGCTTTCCCAGGCTGAGGCAACAGGACAGCGTCGCCCTCTGACCTGCGTGCTCCCTGTCCTGTCCCTGACAGTTGTGCTGCTGGAGGGGCCATCACAGTGAGCACGATGTGAATGGTGTCCCCAGAGTTGTGCAACACAGTGACTCTGCACACAGCTGCCTTTGGCCATTTAGTCATTTGTTCACTCATCCCCCTTCCATCATCCAGTTATTCATTTAGTCAGGTCTTTGAGTGTATCCCTGCCTCATAGGACTTACGGCCCACTGAGAGTTCAGATATTTGTGGCTATAATTACAGGAAAGGTCTATGCGCACTACGACGAGAACAGCTGCTGTGAAAGCGCAGAGCAGCGCGGCCCACCCACCTTTGTGGGCAGGTGTCAGAGATGACTTCTAAGGCTTCAGAGGAGGAGATGCTTCTATAGGCAGCCGGCTGGTACTCCTTCGGTGAGCTGAGTGCAGGGAGTAGGTCTTGCAAGGGTCCCACCCTCTCCAGGGGACTTTATCTGTTTTTCTCCCTGCTCTGGAGAAAAAAGGGGTGGGGTGGCGGGGTGACAGAAGGACGAGGGTGTCTGGCTTGTTAGTGCTGAGAAGGGGCTTTCCCCCACTGTCACCTCATTCCTCCGGGTTAAGGAGTGGTCTTCCCCCCGACCCCCGCCACTGCCCAGAGGGCTCCCCCTGCCCCACCCAAGGCCCGGCCCAGCCTGACCGCTGCCATCCCACCACACACCACCCATAATCACACAGGGAGCCCTTTGTACCTGAGGCCCATCCCAGAAGTCTGCTCCCTGCCACCTCCCAGACCTGCTCACTCTGCTGTACCCAGCCCACTTGGGCACTCACCATAGCATAGCTTTGGTTTCTCTCTGAGCATTTTTAAAACACTATGACATGCTGCCCCATGACCTCTGTGTTGCCTCAGTCACTCTGGATTTTTAAATGTTTATTAGCTTTTTCAGATACAAACCTCTAACTGAATTTTAAGCCCCTTAAAGATGAATTTAAGCACCCAAGAGGACCAGGTCTTAGCTCCTTTCCCCTCTTCCCATCTGCAGGGGATTTGTGCTCATTAAATGTCTGCATTTAAAAATGATGAGATTATCCTCGCTGTGTGATAGGTACTGATAGTCCGTTGGTAGATTAAAAGTTAGAGGAGTCAAGGCAGCTTTGAAACAGGATTCTTCATCGTGACACATGCTGCTTTCTCAAGCCTGGAGATCTTAGCAACACTTAATCTTTCACTGAGGGTTGGAGCATTTAGCCTTGGTTGTGCCCAATGTGCACAGTTCATCTCACAAAAGCTGAACTTCTCAGGGCACCCCCATCCCCACCACCTTCTCTAAAGAAATAGGAGAAAGCAGCAAGGCCACCAAAGGTGGGAAGGAAGGAACACGCCCAAACC